TTTTTTTAACGTTTATTTATTTTTGAGACAGAGAGAGACAGAGCATGAATGGGGGAGGGTCAGAGAGAAGGAGACACAGAATCTGAAACAGGCTCCAGGCTCTGAGCTGTCAGCACAGAGCCCGATGCGGGGCTCGAACTCACGGACCGCGAGATCGTGACCTGGCTGAAGTCGGACGCTTAACCGACTGCGCCACCCAGGCGCCCCGGGGATCAGAGTCTTTTTAGGGGCAGACACATATTTCGATATTTCGAAAATACTCTGTACTAAATATTTTATGGTGCTCTACAAAGAGCACTGTTGACTTTTAAATTAGAAAAGGAGCCACAAATGCTAGAAAAATTGTTATCACCGGTGATTCTGCTGTAATGGTGGGCGTCCTGTATCTCGTGTCTCAGAATTCTCACCAAATTTTCCTGTCGGCGCTTTTCTTATTACCCTAGGTTACACTCTTTGGCCAACTGTAAGGCACTTAATGTTGCTGTTGCGGTTGTAACTGGTACATGGCGATGAGGTATCCTTCTCCCGCCCCTCCCCGTGTTCAAGGACTTGGAAATTCATTCCCTTTTGAAAGCTGAACAATTAAACACAAATAATCGATGACATTTGTTGTCATGTCTATACATGACCTTAAAGTACAGCAGGTATAAAGAGAGCCAAAAATTCTTGTCAGGGCATGCCTCAATATGAAGTAGAACTGTGGTCTTCTAAAATTGTTTTATTATTTTATATAAATGAAGGTGGAAACCATTTTTATCAGCGAAGAAACTGGTTAAGCACACTATAGTACATAGCTGTAGCAGAAAGGCCTATCACCACTAAAAATGCTTATGGAGAGTTTTGAGTGGCATGGGAGGGATGTTTATGATTAAAAAAAAAACATAGTAAAAATAACAAAAAAGGAGACATGAAGAAGGCTCAACCAGATTTTAGGAAAATGCATGGAAGTATAACTAAAAAGAATACACCAAAATATTAATAATTGATAGTGGGATTTGGGGTTATTTTACTCTGCTGCCTTTAGGTACTTTATCTTTTTAGTACAAATAAATAAAAGAGAAATACAGAAAGTTTCACATAACAAGCAGAACCATAGCCTAGATAAGGACACTGACATACTTGGAAAGACAATATGTGGACAGAATAAAAGCTCTGATATAGCCTAGAGGAAGGACCTTGAAGAAAAAATGGGCCCAGGCTTACCCAGCACCGCCAGGGAGGAGTGAGGCAAATACATCAGACCTATATGACGTTCAGTCTTAAAGTCATGCTTTCATCTTCTCCCATACTTAGTTCGATTCCATGTTTACCAAGAAAAACTGGTTTTAACTGACTTTTTTATATGTTCTGATAGAACACACTGGTGACACAACACGTTCCTTATGTCGTTTCAGTGTCTACATCAGTCTCCTGTGAGTTACTTGCTTGTGAGTCGGTTCTGGACCAATCAGCCTATTCTTGGCGCCCCGCTAAGATTAATTCCGGACGTGCAAAGCTGAGGACTAGTTGCTGAGGTGTGGTAACCATACCATATGAAGTCTGTGACCCCTGGCCTCACCAGAACACCCACCCTGACTTGCCTCTCTCTCATTGCTACCGCTCTGATATTCAAATCACACTCTCAGAGTTTGCCCCTTTGTTGCCTTTCCTTTCCAGGCTTTCTAAGAGGAAACTTTTTTATTCTCAGGGGAAGACGGCATGGGAGGAGGTCATTCCAAACCTGAATGCAACAACAGTAAGTCCAGGGCAGGAACCGTTACCTGCCCCACTGCTGAGTTAATCTGGACTGGCATCACCACCATCAATTTTACCTTGACGCAGAATCTAATGACAGGAAGAGAGAAAAGGGGAACCAGAGAGAACAATCTGGTCCTCCCAATTTGAGTGAAGCATGTCTCTGTGCTCGGTACCAGACGGGCTGGGTAGTTTATGGCAATACACTTCCCTTCCCTTCCTGGTCCCCTATTTATGGTGCAGGCATTAACACCCTGCCCTGTCACTGCCTTTGGCTAGTCACTGTGAAAAGCTGCCCTGCAAACAAAGGAACAAACTAAAATAGGTAGCAGTTTACAAGGCCAAGTTCCCTAAAACATTGGGAAATGCTAGTTCTGGGTTTTGCTTTTGGTTCTCTACTCCCTGGCCTTGAGATTGTTGGCTTAAGTCCCAGGGAGCATATCTCCTAGGGGTCCTATTAAATCTTTGAGGGGCCACAGGAGAGGTTTGTTTGTTTGTTTGTCAAAGGGACACATGGGACTGCAAAAACGCTAGGCTTCTCTTTCATTGGTTTAGCTGATGGGGTTTTTTTGTTTGTTTTTTTAATGTTTATTTTTGAGAGAGAGAAAGAGAGACAGCATGAGTGGCAGAGGGGCAGAGAGAGAGGGAGACAGAATCTGAAGCAGGCTCCAGGCTCCGAGCTGTCAGCACAGAGCCTGACGCGGGGCTCGAGCTCACAAACTGTGAGTCATGACCAGAAGTCGGAGGCTTAACCAACTGAGCCACCCAGGTGC